CCCCCCCCCCCTTCCCCCACTGAAACACGCGATCTTTTTTTACTTAATATTCCGGGTTTACTTCCTGTTTTAAAGCCACAACATTTATTGTCGATTGTTCGTTAAAAAAGGCGTTTATTGTCATCAATACACTGTCTACTAAAAAACTATAGCCAGCTAATAAAAATACTGTCTACTAAAACTACTCTAAAATAACATACTAAAACTAATTTTAAAAATGTCTGCATTCTTGGCATTAACACTAAAATCATCTAGAAAGTCAGCATCCTTGTGAAAAGGGGATCGAGACCCTCCCAACGAACATATGTGTGGACGGATCGTAAAAATTTCAAAAGATATGCTTGTTTTAAAACAAGATATGGCACTGGCATACGACTTGCCTTTTTTTTTGGGGGGGGGGAAAGTTTGTCCGCTAGGTTGCTTAGAAAAAGCTTGCATTCCTTCCCCATTCCTCCGTTCGTGCCAAAAAAAGGGGGGTAAAGATCCCATTTCCACGTCAATAACTGTTTGTTGGTAATTCCTTTTCTTGTCTTTCTCATGCTCCACGAAGATCGATTCTGTGGATTTGTTCTGGTTACACGTTGAGTTCACATGCGTTCGACATACATCGAAGAATACTGTTTCTCCTCGTGACCAGAACTTCCTGCCTTTATGTCCAGTATAGCGTAAGGGCTTGTGACGGTGGATCTTAGGTTGAATACCTCAATGTCGATCGGTAGGAGGTGGAGCTTTACATCTACATCCCTTGCAGACTTTGCTGAGCAGAGATGTGAGAATGTTCTGGATGCCATCATGTCTTTGTGCAACAAAATCCCCCTTACACAACAGGGCGCCGCTTACTGTGAATCGGTCTCCACATGTGGGATCCAATGACCCTCTAGCCATGCCATGGTATGCGATCAACACATCCATCAACTCAGTGTTATACAACTGGTATACGCTTTTTAGTCAAGAAGGAAAGAAATTTGGCTACCTAGTCAATGGCTCCAAAAGTTGACCGATAGTGAAGCGCAGGTAGCCTGAAGACTCAAGATCTAGCAGACAAGGCCAAGTTGGTGTTTGGAGAGGAGGTCAGAATAACAAAAGAAGGTCAACGACACCTGGGAGCAGTCATTGGACCCCAGGAATACAAAGACCAATAATGCAGTGGAAAAGTGGAGGATGGAGGAAAAAAATTGAGTTGTTGGCTGAGATCGTAAAGATTTAACCCATGCTGCCTACGCAGCCTTCACAAAGGGCTACAAATCGAAATTTGCATATTTTATGCGTACAATTGACCCTTTGAAGACTATGTGGAACCAACTGATGAAGTGATCAACGATATTTTCCTTCCAGTTCTTTTTTGTCAGACGGAACCGCTCCCTGATGAGTTGCGAGAACCATTCCCCATTGCGCCAGCACAAGGGGCTCTGGGTATACCATACCTGAAAGTTGAAACCTCACAGCAATACGCTGTCTCAAAGTTAATAAGAGCACCACATAAGGCAGCTAGACTTGCTAAGATCAACAGTGCAGGCCAGAGACAATGGCGCAAGCTCGTGGCTCAACGCCGTAGCCCTTGAGGAGCAGGAACTGACATTGAATAAGCAACAATTTAGGGACTTGCTACAGTTGCATTACAATCTTGCCGAGCCATTGCACGTGTGGAGATCGATTCACAGTCAGCCACGCCCTGTCGTGTAAGAAGGTGGGTTTTGTTGCCAAAGACATGATGGCATCCAGAACCTTCTCACATCTCTGCTCAGCAAGGTCTGGAAGGATGTCAATGTAGAGCCCCACCTCCTACCAATCGACAGTGAGGTATTCAGCCTCAAGATCCACCGTCACAAGCCCTGAGGCTATCCTGGACATTAAGGGAGGAAGTTTCTGGTCACGATGAGAAACAGCATTCTTTCATGTATGTCTAACACATGTGAACTCAACGTGTAACCAGAACAAATCCACAGAATCGATCTTCGTGGAGCATGACTAAAGACAAGAAAAGGAATTACCAACAAAGAGTTATTGACGTGGAAATGGGATCTCCCCCCACCCCCTAGTTTTTGACACAAACGAAGGAATGGGCAAGGAATGCAAACTTTTTCTGAGCAACCTAGCGGACAAACTTTCCCCCCAAAAACGGCGTGTCATATGCCAGTGCCATTTCTTGTTTTAAAACAAGCATATCTTTTGAAATTTTTACGATCCGTCTACACATATGTACGAGGGTCCCGACTGGCCCTTTTCTCAAGGATGCTGACTTTCTAGATGATTTTAGTGTTAATGCCAGGAATGCAGACATTTTTAAAATTAGTTTTAGTATGTTTTTTTAGAGTAGTTTTAGTAGACAGTATTTTTATTAGTTGGCTATAGTTTTTTAGTAGACCGTGTATTTTATTTAAGACAGTATATCTTTTAATATTATATATTGTTTTTATCATTGTAATGACAATAAACGCCTTTTTTAACGAACAATCGACAATAAATGTTGTGGCTTTAAAACAGGAAGTAAACACGGAATATTAAGTAAAAAAAGATCACGTGTTTCAGTGGGGGGATCTGTATACTGAGGCTAGTGTTTATCTGTTTTGACCTTAGGGAGACGAAAACAAAAAAATGTAAATACCTATTTTTTAGGTACGTTTAGTTTTGTTTATCTCTATTCATTCTCTAGA